GGCTGAACAACAGCTTGAGGCACTCGATCGGCGGCGCTGGGGCGAAGACTCCCTCTCGTGCCGGGCCCTTCGCTTTGATCTCCTGCGCGCACAGCCTAGCGCGCACATCAGGCTTCTCATCGTCGCCCTTGTTGACGCACACCCACGTGACGCCGATGGGCGCCGCTCCCGTCTCGCCCCAGCACTGCTGGATGGGAACCTTCTCGTAGACCCCGAACGCCCTGATCTCCTTGAGCTCGTCCTGCTTGGCCTCCGCCACCAGACTCGGGTCCAACTTCAGACCCGTGAGCGAGTCGTAGACGTCGCGCCCGCTGCTGGGCGCCCAGAGCTCCTGGTGGTCGTCCCACTCCGGCTCCTTCTCTTCAGCATCAACCGTCCCGAACTCGCCCTCGTGCCACTCACCTCGGTCTTTCAGCTCGTCCACCAACCCATGAAGGATCGCCCGAACCAACTCAATCGGGTAAACCTCGCAGCCCTTTGCCTTGTTCCCGACCAGCTCAACGTGGCGGTGCTGTCGCCACGGAGGCTCCTCCTTTTTCGTACACCTCCTTGCCAGCTGCCTCGCTATCTGGTCGGAGTTGGTGGCCCACCCAGTAGGCTTGACCACCAGCTGCCAGCTGCCGTCGACGTCGAGCGCCGTCATGCCGAACTGGCACATGTCGCTGCGCACCCTCTTGGTACTCTCTCTACTCAGCAGCTCCTTCACGCACTCTCCCTGCCATGACGTCGCACGGTCTGGATGCTCGTGGAGCCAGAACCGCCCAGCATCGTCCTGCCACTGATAGAGCTCGCACACGAACTCGAGATGACTGATCGCGTCCTGCTTCATCGCCTCCCAGTCCTCGCTGCTGTAGTGCTTCCGGTTGAAGGTCATCAGCGAGCTGAACATCCTGCACATCGGGCTCCCGATCAGCAGGAGCGGTCTCTTGACCTTCAGGATCTCCTTCGCCAGCACCCTGTCCTGCGACCGGGGGAAGTCCCACGGACCTCCTCCGTCCGGCCTCTGGAGCTGCAGGTCGAAGGCATGGCCGAAGGCAAGACCCATCGCCTCGGCCTCCTCCTTGAACCTCTCCGGGTTGTACACCTCGCTCACGTGGGCGTCGTAGCCCAGCGCGCTCAGCATCCTGCCACCCTCCAGGTAGTCCATCCTGGCCGTCGGCACGCTGGTCTCCTCGACCACCTCGTACTGCCTGACCTCATCCTGCTGCAACTCCTCGCTAGCCCTGCGCTTCTGACTCCCCCGCGCATCCTCCATCTGGGATCCTTGCGCGGGTCCTGCGCTGCTGCCCTGCGGTGCCAGCTGCGCCTCCACCTCCATCGGTGATCTCTCGGCTGCCTCCGGGGCCTGGGCGGCACCTCCCGCTGGCCCCTCCGCAACTGCCGGCGGGCTGGGCGCTGCTGCAGGAGCAGCAGGCGCTCGCTGCCCTGCCGCCTCGATACGCGCTCGGCAAAAGTCCGAGTGCGCAACTCCACCTCCACTCACGTGCGTCGTGCCGTGGATGAGTAAAGCCTCACACCCTCGACATCCTGGCGCGAAACCGTACTTCTCAATCATGGCCTTGGTGACGTACGTTCTCCGCCGAACCACTGCTGGCTCCGGTGGCGTCTCGATCACCGGCGGCGCGTCTGGTGGTGGATCTGGTCGTCCGACTTCCACTCGTACTTGAGGCGCCGGCACATCCTCTGGCGTCCGATTCCAGGGCACGCCCTTGACCTTGAGGATCGTCTCCGGCGACTTGCGCATCACCTCCGGGAGCCTCTTCATGCTCCTGGCTCGGTAGACGCCGCCATTCTCATCACTGACGAACGCCTCGTCGCTGCTCTCCTGGACGCCCAGGAAGTGTCCCGTCCGCCACTTGTTCTCTAACTTGTTCATGCCCTGCGCATCGCCACGCTTCTTGCTCTTGTCCGCTGGGAGCCAGTAGATGCGCTCACCGAGAAGCAGTAGCTCACGTCGAAACGGCTTGCCCTTCGTCTTCTCATATGGTGTCTTCCCGTTGACGTCCCTGGAGAACCGGTTGTAGACGCACGCCGCCCACAGCACCAGCCAGGGCACGAGCGCGGACTCGTGCTCGACCTTGATGCCCTGCGAGATCTCCAGCGCGTCCCTGTGGGTCCTCACCAGGCCCTCGATCTGCATCACGCCGTTCTCCATCGCACCGTTCGACTCCTTGCTGCCGCGCGGAGCCTCCTCCGAGACCACGCTGTACGCAGTTCCCAGCGCCTGGTGCGCTCATTCCTTCAGCGCCTTCAACGCTGACTCCTGATCCGTCTTGTGGATGAAGTTGGAATGTCCCATCTGCTTGATCTGGCCACTCATGACCCCAACACTGCACTCGCTCGCGTCGCCCTTGCATGGGACGATCGCGGCCCCAAGCCACAACGTTCGAAAGCTCTTGCCCACCAACATCGGCATCGCAGGATTATCATCTCGCCCGAGGAAGCCATAGTCGTGACCGACCGTGGGGATCACGTGTGACTTCTCCGCCTCGAGCTTGCGGTGAGCCGCGCTCCTGCCTCGGCCCATCACGCAGTGCCTGCGCCAGCTCCTGTACGGTATGTGCCCGATGTTGTGCTGCTCGATCTCCTCCTTGGTCGGCGCCTCCGGGTCCTTGACGACCCGTGCGGGCACCGCTGCCTCTTCGTCAGCCTCCATCTCGATGACGCGGCCGTCTTCAGCTCCTGGCCCGGGCTCGCTCGGCGCCGCTGCCTGGCCCGACCCGCTGCTGCCGCCCTCGAACACGGGCGTCACCCAGCGCCGAGCCTCCTCGCCCTCACTGCTAGGCGGACTTACGGCCTCGCGGCCTGCCTCCTGCCCCCCAGCGACTGGGCCGAGTCTACCGCTGCGAGCATCATCGACTTCTCGTGCTGCTTCGGCGGCTGGATCTCCATGTCCATCACATACACGTCGTTCTTACGCCTGATGGGGATAGTGACCCCGGTGGCAATGTTCTCGATGTAGCTGTCGCCCTCGTTCGGGCCGAACGTCACCCTGTTGCCCTGGTCCACCATCTTGGCCACGCTCAGGAGCACCTTCTTCACCTCGGCCACCGAGCACGTCACTCGAGCCTTGCCGCCGTTGCGACCTCCCGCGTGGATATTCACCACGCGCGTGCCGAGGTCCGAGATCATCTGTCCCCCAGCTGCCCGATAGCGGACCCCTCTGCGTGATGCCTCGCTCGGCCTCACCTTGTACTCCTGGCACGTGCTCACCGGCATCACGCTGACCGCCGCACCTGAGTCCACCGTCGCCTCGACCATGTAGCTGTTCACCTCCTTGTAGGGCTGCGTGTCCTTGTCCGTCTCGTCCTTGCCGTAACCGTCGAGCGCGCAGATGTCGAAGCCGCCGATCTCAGGCTCCGGCTGGTTGCTCGTCTCCAGCGAGTTCGTCGTCTTGGAACCCCAGCAATCTTGTCCGCGATGACCCCACTTCCCGCACTTGTCGCAGTAGCCCCGGAAGTGGTTCTGGGAGTTCCCCTTTCCGCCATCTTTGCCCTTGTCGCCCTTGGAGTCCTTGCCCTTGCCTTTGTTGTCCTTGCCCTTGCCACGGGCCTTGTTCTTGTCATGATATGTCTGCGGCTTCGTCCAGCACTCACTGCTCGTGTGTCCTGTCTTGCCGCAGTTCCAACACGTCACGTTCTTCTTGGAGTGGGAGTTGTCCGTGTCCTTGCCCTTGCCTTTGCTGTCCCTACCCTTGCCGCTCTTGTCTTTGCCCTTCCGCTGCAGGGCATCAACATCCGTCGGTGCCGAACCGTCACTGGTGTGGCTCTTCCTGGCCTCGAGGAAGGACAGCACCTCCTGCCTGATTGTGGTGTAGTCCGTGAGCGTCCTCGCATTGAGCTGGAGGTGGAGTCGCAGCTCCTTGGGCATCATCTCCGTCAACACTGCACACTTGAGCTCTTCATCAACCACCTTCTTCCTCTTGGACTCGTAGTCGCGGATCTGCGCTTCCCATTGCTCCAGCATCTTGGACGCCTGCTCCACCGTCTTCGCCGTGCCTGGCTGAGCTATCTTGAGGTAGGCAGCCCTGTTGCGTCCGACCGTCTTCGGATCCCATCGCCTCCATAGCCGACGCCACGCATCAATACCATTATCTTCACGGCCATTCCTCAAGACATCCAGCGATTCACCTGTGAGCATCTGAGCGAGGGACACGTACACCTGCCTCCCGAGGTGCCTGATCTCATCCTGGCTGAGCGCGTCCGGCGGGTCATCCAAGTCGAGATCATCTATCTCCTCGCCACTCAGCTCTGCCCATCTGAGGTATAGCCGCGCCTGCGGCTCGATGCCGCTGATCCAGTTCTCGTACTTGAACGCAAACTCCTGCCAGTGCTCTTCTTTGTTGTCGAAGTCCTTCGGCTTGCCGAGGCTCTTCGTGTCGATGACCGTCTTCATGCTGCCTCTGGCTACAGCTCTCAGCTCATCCATACGTACATATTGTTGCTGCTGTTGCTGCAGCGCCTCCCGTTCTGCAGCCTGAAGTCTGTCAATATCTTGTCGCTGTCGCTGCAACTGTTGGACCATCTTTTCCATCGGCTGCTGGCGCTGTTGCAACGTTGCCACCTGATCATGCAGTTGCTGGATCAACTGCTCCATTGATTCTGAAAGAAATATACCGTGAACCCACTATGAAAGGTCGCGTGGAGCCTCACGGCTCCGCTACCATCTAAATGTTTTGTCTCTCCCTGGGCCAAAAGGGGCTTCAGATATACGCTGACTGCATGCGAGCGCCTGGCGGGATATTTTGGCCACGCCTCCGCTCGGAGGCATACTACGGGATATTTTGGCCACGCCTCCGCTCGGAGGCATACTACTCTTCACACCTCCTCCTCCTCCTCCTCCTCCTCCTCCTCCTCCTCCTCCTCCTCCTCCTCCTCCTCCTCATCCTCCTCCTCCTCCTCCTCCTCATCATCATCATCATCATCATCATCATCATCATCATCATCATCATCATCATCATCCCCACTCTCTTCCCCCTTCGTTCCTCCCTGATGGGGCTCCATCTCGGTCTCCATGAACCACCTCTCGACAGCCTTCACGATCTGCTCGTCCCACGCATCCTGCTCCGCTTGGGGCGCGACGTGCCCAGCCTCGGGGAGGGTCGGATTCGCACCGGCAAGGATGAGGATTGTTCCTAGGAGCTCCCCGTCCACGAGGTCGGGGCCCCTCGGGGGCCAGCCATCTCTATGACGATGTTACTGCCACGATGCGATTGGCTCAAAATACGCTTCGGGAGTTCAGGAGTGTTCAACGGCCCTCGGTTATTCGCACTCGGCCATCCGTGTCTGGCCTCGCGGGACTACAGGAAATCTGGGGAAACTTGGAACGTGTCGTTATCATGACTCAGTACTCCTCTGAGCCTCCGAATCCCCGGCGCTGAGCTGGAGAACGCAGTCGCCGGCCCGCGAGCTGGGCAACTCAGCGCGCGTCGGGAACGCTTCTCCACCAGTGCCACTTGTCAGAACCCTGAGACTGCCTGCGGGAGACGGCGGCGCCAGGGCGTCGTTGGAGCGCCCCGAACCCGAGGGTTGGCGCGCGGCCGCGGCCGCACGCCGAGGATGTGCCCAGAGCTAGGCGTGCCGGCGAAGCGTGGCGCGCCGAGCCGCTGGAGGCTCCAACGTTGTGGGCAAAGGCCGACGACGACGAGGCAGAGAAACACGGTTAAGAGGCAGCGATAGGGGGGCGGGCTCAGGGGGGGAGGGGCCATCGACCTGGAATCGACTACGCATCGCTGATAGATCGGCGACGGGCCCCGGATAGCGGAACCACACCCTTTTGGGCGGAGTGGCCCATCGGTCGAACACATCTACAACTACACAAGGCAAGACTGCACCTTGTTGCGGAGACCAGGGGTGGCAATCATACTTAGATTTGGCGCGTCTGTCGGTCTGGATGGACGGGCGCCGCCTCGCGACCTACGTTGGAAGGCGATGGTGGTGCCGACGACGTCGCGTGCCAAGCGTGGAAGCGATCACCATGTTGCACAGCGAGGCTAGGCGGCAGCCGCAAGCGAAATCATGGCACGAACAAGCGTTTCACCCTCGGACAGGAAATCCGGCACGAAGAAAAACTCGAAAACGCGGGGGATCGGATCGCGAATTTGCTGGTGGGGCACAGGCGGGGGAGGGAAGCGGGCTGCGCGAGGTCGAGGCCCAAAGGCATGCGGCTGGCTTCGCTGGGCCGGGGGATGTGGGATGTCGGTGGGAAGCGGCCCAGGGGACGGAGCCTCGGCGATGGGCAACGCGGGCAAACGATGCTTCGCGAAAAAGGGGCACGCGCAGAACGGCAACTAGCGGCCGGGGCGCGGTACGCTTTGGGAGCGCGAGTGGCGGCACCCGACATGCACCCCGCCCCGCTGGCTAGGTGTAGGTAGTTCTAAAAATGCTCGGTTTTTCGCCGCCGAAACCCGCAAAACTACACCTTGTGCCTGGCAGTTCTGAACGTGTTGGATGTCTCGCGCGGGGCGAACACGCACAGACCGGCACCTAGCCGAAGGGACGGGGTACAGGTCTGGTGCTTCGTCGCGCCCCGCCCGCAGAGTCAGGAAGGCAAGGGCCGCTGAACCCCTGCCAGCCTCCGGGCGGGGGTGTCTGAACGCCCCAGGGCTATCCGAAGGAATTCCAACTGCGGCCTCCGCCCACATCGCCCCCCCTATCAGAGCATCGCGCCTGGTCACTATGATCCCCATTCCCGCCCGCTGCTTTGCCCTCCCCCTCCCCCGTTCTTCCTCGACCTGCCACCCTCCATTTCCATGAACGTTTCCCAATTGCCCCTGGCCCCTGCGTGGCGGCAAACGCCCGCGCCCCCCCGCAGCTGAAAGACTCACCTTGCGCTCATCCTCCAATCCACTCGTGAGATGCAAGTCTCGATTCCACACTGACTCTGGCAAGCGACGTCGAGGCCCCGGCAAATCCGACAGCCGCGATCGGCCCCCTCGAATGGCGGGCGAATCAATACGTAAGACGATGTCGCAAAAGTGAATATGGAATTTAGGGATCCGCGCAAGAAGCTAATCCACTCGCCCAAAAAGTAATTTTGTGCCTGTCCGAATCGGGCCCCCCTGAGCCTGTCCCCCCCGCCTGTCGTTGCCCCTGATGGTGGGGCACGGCCCACTAATCGGCACCCGGTGCCGCCCCCTCGTCCGCCTGCCGGCGGAGGCGGAAGAGCTGCCCGGTTCCTTCCTGGAGCTCCGCGTCTCGTGCGTGCTCCCCTGTGAACGGGCAACGAGGATCTGATCACCATCGTACTACCATGGTGAGGCACGCTACACAAAGAACGATGGGGCTTCTCTGGCCACTGCGAGCCTCGGCCACAATGAGGTCCCCCGACCCACATGCAAGGAACAGCCAACAGCCCAAAAGCCAGAGCCACTCTGGAGCCCAAAGTTGTCCGAATCAGCGTCCTGACCGAAGATCGGCCCTCTACGTGGCCAGCTGACGCTCATCTGCGGAAGGCACGCCGGGCACACAGGCCACCTAAACAAAAACAGATCGCAAGGAGAGGGTGGCCAGATCTTCGTCAAAGCAATGTGGGTGGAGCCATCTCTCTGAAACAAGCAGGTCTGCGGGCGAGTGCCCCTGACCCAGACAAGCTTGAGATGTCCACCCAGTACAACAGGCAACGCCGCAAGTCTTATACGGACTGCGGGGCAGGCCGACAAAGAAAAGCGGGCCAGGCAAGGACAAACAAACGAACAGGAGAGCGAGGAGCCGAGGAGCAAGGAAGGGAGGGGGAGAGGGAGGGAGGGAGGGCGACAGGAAAGGACAGACCGGGCCGACAGACGGACGGACGGATGGACGGGGAGGGGAAGCCAAGCAGGGAGGGAGAGGGAGAGCGCGCACACGAGGGCCAAGAAACACAAGGGCAAGGAGAGGACACAGAGAGGGAGAGGGGGGAGCCAAGAGCCACAGACAAGGCAAGGCAGGAGGGACGCACAGGGGACAGCGGGCAGGGGAGGGGGAAGAGGCGTCCTGACTGTGCGATCCATAGGCCGTCGAGCGTTACCCCGAGCACTCCGATGCCTGGCGCGGCAGCGAGGCGCCTCGGCCGAGGCGGCGACGGGCGGCTCCCAGCTCGTCTCGCCTCGGCGCCGCGGGCCCTGCCCCCCCCCCCCTCCCCCCCCCTGCGCCCGCGCAGGCCGCGCTCTGAAGCACGGGGCGGGTCGGAGGGGCTCGAAGTGTGCACACCAAGCCGCTCGGTCGGCCGAGGAGCTCGTTGTATGGACGCCCCAACTTCCCAAGCTGTGAGACGCTGGAGCATCTATGCACGGAAATCCTTGGCTCCCTGGCAGGCCAAGCAACGTGTATACATCGAGCCACTCCGAGCGGGACAGCAGAAAGAAATGCGAGAAGATGGCTGGGAGGCTGAGGATGACAATGATGAGGAAGAGAACGAAATAGTGATCCGCCGCCGTCCCCCGTGGGGCCTCCAGGCTGTGAGCAATCACGCTACGTCAGTACCAGTACTGCTGTGATGCAATGCAGGAGATTGAGTGTAGTAAGGTCCATATCTGCCTCGGCCCCAGCAGGCCCCCTGTGGCCGATCCTTGAAAAGGCTCACAGGGTTCTTGCCCCCAAAGATCCCCCGTAGTAGATTAAACAAATTCGCGCTCCCAAGGGCACGACCCCTTGTAAATCACGCCTGATCCACGCTCCCAGGGCCACTACCCGTACTCAATGACACTGGTTCCGCGCGCCAAGGGCGTCCGTCCCTTGTAAATCACGCTGGATCCGCGCTCGTTGGGCCACGATCCCTTGCACATTACATAGGTTTCCAGGGCCCATAATCCATTGCACATGACGTTGGATTTGTGATTGAACTGCACTTGACAAGCACTCTCAGGGCCACATCCATCATACATCACACTGGATCCGCGCTCCCAAGGCAACGACGCTTTGCACATTACACTGGATACACACCTGCAAGGCCCTGATCTCCGTCAATTGCGATAGCTCCTGGCTCCGAGTGCCCGACCCGCGTGTGGCATTACTCAAATAGTTTCTGCGCAACCGAGGAGCCCGCAAGGGTCCAATATTAGATTCAAAGAGCGCCCTGAAAGGGGACTCCAGGAGTCTCCAGTAGGCTCCGGAGAGCAGCACGACTGTCCAGACACTGGCTTGAGTCGGCCTAAGACAGACCCCATGGAGCCCCAAAGGGACCAAACAGGGCTCACGAAGTGAAGGGGGCCCCTTGGGCGGCCGTGCAGAACGGGGCAGAACGAGCACGAGACAGATGACGACGGCGAACGAGGGCGACGAGGAATCCCCTGATGTTTCGGACAAGCTGCCCGACTCACTGCGGGTGGCCTGGCGCCGAGTCTCCCCGGAAAGGCCGCCCAAGACGGACCTCGCCAGAGACGGCATGGCCGAAGCCAGGTCTGCCAAGTCTGCGGCCCGATGGAACGCCGCCGCCGGCTGTGGCTCTTCTTACGCTATGACAGCGCCCCAACCCGCGGGCACGGAGGGGAGGGGGGGGGGAGGCAGGGCCCGGGACGGGCCAGGGCCGCAAGGGGGGCAAGACAGAGAGCGCTGGGACAAGCCAGGACGCAGGACCAGGGGGGCGCCGCACACGCCGCGTGCAGGCGTGCCAAAAGGACACCATAATGGTCCCCGAGTGACACGGTGCCGTTCTCGGGCGCCGACGTGGTGTCATGCGGATTGCGCTCCGAAGGCACGCCTCGCTCCCACACCGTGAGCCGAGCCAGGTTTGGGGCCGCGGCAGCTGGCCTGGCCATGGGCATTTTGCCCGAGGCTTAGCAACTACAGCTGATGCTGGGTTCTGGAGGTCGGAGGCTGGAGGTCGGCCACATGAGGCCAGAGGTCGATAAGCGGGGGTCGAACGCTGGAAGTGGAACGTTGGATGTCCTCAGCTGTTGGTGGATGGTGGGCGTCGTACGTTGAAGGCTGGAATGCAGGGAATCGAAAGCTGGAAGCTAGAGGCCTGCCAAAGGCTGGTCAGGTGAAGCCGGAGGTCGATAAGTGAATGTCTCCAACTGGCGGCGGTGGATCCGTCTAATGCGCTGCCAGTGCGGCGTCCAAGCGCCAAATGCTGCATTAAACGCCTGTCCCGCGAATTCGCCATATGCCGCAAAATATTGTGCCAGATTGTCCCACGTATCTACCGACGCAAAACACAATATATCTGGAACATTCCCCCGCGATCTTCATTCCAATGTAATGTCGGACGTCAATCCAATTGGGTTTGTCTCACCCCAACCTGCGTTTCGCTGTGTAGACGCGGTCGCTTTTGTGGAGTCCATTGGAATACCTCAAGCCATTTCGTATTCGAGGACGTTCGCCAGTTTTCGTATCCAATGCCATTTCCGCTGTCGTAGTTTGGGAGCCGACTATGTGATGTACGGCCTCCTCATTGTCGCCTTGATAAAAGCTTGCTTTTCCCAATCAATCTACAGCTCAAAATTATATCCGGCTGTTTCCGCATCGTGAACACATGGCGTATATCCAACTTGCTGTCAACGAGTCGTCCGTCGTCGTCGTCGTCGGTGTGCTGGTGAATATTATAGTGCCGATCGCCTGTGCTAACATTATCCTCACCTGCTTGTGGTGCCTGCTGGATGCTATTTTTCACAATGCGTCTGGACACCCTGACGATCATGCGAAGCATCTACCGTTGTGTGCGCTGGAATCGATTACCAATGTCGGTCGTTAGTGTGCAGGCTCCGCGACCGCAGAAATAGTCGGTGTGATGGTCCCGTTGATTGAGCGAAGACGGTATGATTGTGAACCTGTTGGCCCAGTCAGCTCTTGCTTGAGTGCGTGGCAATTCCGCCACGCTGTGGCGACGCGATGGGGGGTGCAGCGTGCTGTGCTGTAAAAATGGTCGGAAATATTCCGTTGCGCAGTAAGGTGGCGTAGCCTCGATCGTCATGCCGTGCACATTTACGCTGTCGGGTGCACGTTTGCAACGTAATGATCGATTACCGCTGTGCAGAACGATTGGTTTGTCAAGGGGTGCAGCCCGCTTCGCCCGTCTCGGTAGTCATGTCGGGAAGAATGTCCTTGTTGTGGCCGAGTGAACCACGCAATAGAAAGAGAGATCGTCGGCGAAACGTAAACTTGTCAGCCTGTCACTCGCATGCAACTGTAACTTGGGACCGTGATTTATGATTGCCCCTGTTTGGGGGGGCTCGCCTAATGACACTGTCTGAGACGCAAGTGAAAAGCAATGAATTGAAGGGATATTCTTGCTTCGTTCCCCGTCTGCAATATTCTGCAACAGCGCTGCTGTGAATAAGGTGGTCGGTGGTGCTGCGGGGGGGTCGACAGCCTGCTTGGTCAGTGCTCTGGCTGCTGTCTAGTAGTGGGTATAGTCGGTTGTAGGGCCGTTGGTGAAGACTTTTCGTTGTTGGGTGTCTCCGTGCTTGTGGAGTACCTTGAATACTGCGTGTCACCAGCTGACCAGTGCTGGCGAATCGGATAATATGACGTTCTTGTACATGTAGTCGAGGAGCACAAGTCGAAACACATTACCGCCTGCTTTCAACATGTCTGCAACGATCACAGAATAGTCGGCAGCTCCGTTGGACCGTAGTTGTCGCGGTCGTAAATGGCGGGGTTGCGTCATACAGGTCGTCTCGATCGTTGCTCTGATTGCTGTCGTGTCGGTCGTTTCTCTGGTTGCTGGCGTTGTTTCTGTCGGCGCTGTCGTCCTAGAGGTCTGCACAGAACGCCGCCAACATCTCTGTTATGGATTGCCGGTCGTGTTGCGTCACCCCTTCCATGTCAATCATGCTCATGATGGTTGTTCATGCTATGATGCTCTTGATTCCACCGACGCGTTGCAAACCCTTGCACTCAGACAACATGCGATCGTTTCTTGCCCGCTGGACTGCCCTTTTGATAGCCCAACCCTCTTTGAGGATGTGTTTGTTGAGCTGGCTTCTGGTCGCTGTCTCGTGGCTTGGCGTGTCACTTCCTTGCTGGAGTCGCTGAGTCCGTTTATCTCTGACTGGGTGGCTGCTGCAGCCGTGATATGTGCTCGGGGGTTGCCGCTGCAGTAACCCATCCCGAACCAATTCTTCGACATGTTCGCAGTGTAGTGACAGCCCCGTTCCTTGCAGAGATACGTCGAGTCGATGCGAAAGTGCGTGACGAAAACACAGTAATATCGCAAAATTCAATGGTCAGAACCCATGTCGATGTCATAATTCAACTCGCAATCTTAGACCATTCGGCAATTGTTGTCAATCCGAAAGTGGTCGAGTTGTTTGTCTGGGAGGTGTAGGTGATCAATGTGCTTGTCTGCTTGAAATAGAACGTGTGGACAAGACGACTTCGTTGATTGGTTGGCCATTATGTTAGCCATTGCCCTCCAGCGTTCATGGGGCCACCTCCGTGCTGTCCCGAAATACATCGTGCATCATCCGCCATGGCATGCCCAGCGCGGGCAGTGCAATCTGCCCCAATCAATGCCATCATGCGTGTTGCATGCGCCTCTTCGCTAATGCGGGATAGTGTGCCATACATATCTCGAATGTGCTTATCACCGTACCCACTGAGAAAGTACGAATTTACGATCTGTAGCTTGATAGACGGCCTACCTATTGGTATCGATATGAGCAACCCTTTCGTTGACAGGGTGACATGGTATTACGTGTACGACCCAACGTTTGTGCATTAAGATGTCGACTCCACGTTGGTGGTCTTTGAACCCGGATCCCAAGAAGGCATGTCCACCATCAGACGTCAAGAATTCGTCAGCGTGGGTACAAACCTGCATGCCCCATGTCGTATTCTCCGCTTTCAGAATCTCGCCAGCGCTGAAGTCGGGGCGTGCCAGTGGGTAGCGTCACACTGTAGTCAAAGGTATCGCGTTGGAGCCGGGGGAGGCTGGATGAGGGCGTTGGTCTTGAAGCTGAAATCTTCATCCCGATGAGGAAGATCCGGAGCATGGGCCTGAAGACTGTGATGTCGGCCATGTTCGTTGCTGCCGCCATTGTCATCACCATCGTGACCGTCATAATCATCCTCATCGTCGTCTTCGTCGCCAACATCATCACCATCATCACTACCACCACCGCCACCAACACCATCGTCTGCTGCTTTGTCGCCACCACCTCCTTCTCAACCTCCTCCACCTAGGAAACGCGACGGCGGCATCAAAAGGGGTGTCGCCAGTGGCCGCGTTGCCGTAGTACGTCCTGCCCTCGGCGTCCACCATAGCCGCCCAGCCCTCGCCAGGGAGAAAGAAGGCCAGGAACCATGCACCCCCATGGTCGGGAGCTCCACTGCATGATGGCCGCGTCGCCCACCCCTTCCTCACTCGGACCTCCTCCTCCTCCTCCTCCTCCTGCTCCTCCTCCTGCTCCTCCTCCTCCTCCTCCTCCTCCTCCTCCTCGGCCTCCTCCCAAAGATTTGGCGCCCAAGCGGCCCACCCTTCAGGGGGCACGGGACGGCGGTCTGCGCGCCAACGTCGGAGTGGCCATGCGGACAGGAGCCACGATCGACAGACGTGGTACCCAACGTCATCAGCTACCATGATGCGACCAAATGGGTACGCGGCAAACAGGAGCCGTCCTCGTCATCATTCCCCGTCGCTTCGTCCTCCAGGTAAGCAGCATCGTCAGCCACCGTGGTGCAGCTGCACGAGTGTAGGCAAGAATCACAGCGTCAATCATCGGCTGCAATGCTGGCATCAACCCTTATAAAAACGTGCGGGCCAACATCATCAGCACCAGCGCTGGGATGAGATCGTGTGAGAAGCGGCGAGCCGATATCATCAGCCACAGTGGTGTGATTAGCTCGTGCGAATAGCGCGGGCGGGAGCGCGAGAGCCGACGTCGTCAGCATCAACGCTCCGACTATTTCACGCATTAGAGTGCAAGCCGACAACAGGTCATGCGAGAAAAACGGAAGACAGTGAGTCGACATTGATTGCTGACGATGCTCAAAGGGCGACTGTGGTAACAGATCGTCGGCTACAGCGTAAGGATCAGCTCGGGCGATACGGCAAGCAGCGGCAGCAGATGGCACTGCACGTGGGAACGATCGTGGGCAACGGACATCAGCTACAACGCGGCGCTTGGAGCATGCGAGAAAAGCTGATGCGGGGGGGATCAGCTAATGTCTGAAAACGGTTTTTAGTACAGAAAAGGCTAGAGGGATGATTAATACAAAAAATATTCCCAGCGCTGTAGGAAGCAAATAGAAAACATAAAAAGGCGGGGAAAACCGGACCGCCGGGGACGTCCCCGCGACCGCCGTGGCGCTCGGCGTGTAGGGGCGGAATCCTGCGCACCCCGTCTTGGGGTCAGGCCACGCCTGCCACGCCGCAACTTGGGATTCTTGGAGCCAACCAACAGTGAGGCCAATCAGCCTCACACAAACCCGCGGGTGACACGTTTCACCCCCGAAACCGTGCGAGAAAAAAATAATGGTAAATTTGGGACTGTGGGAGCCAACATAAGGCCATTCAACCTCACAAAAACAACCGGTGACACGTGTCACCCCCGAAACCGCCGGATAAAAACCAATCGTGTAACTGGGATCCTGGGAGCCAGCATAAAGTCATTCAACTTCATGCAGAACAACGGATGACACGTGTCACCCCCGAAACCGTGTGAGAAAACAAACAATTATAAATTTAAGATTCTGAGAGCCGCCATAGGCCACCCAACCGTGCACAAACAACGCGCAGCACGTGCCACCCCCGAAGCCGCATGAGAACAACCAATTGTAAGTTTAAGGTTTTGGGGGCAACATAAGGCCTTTCAACCTCACAAAAACATCAGGTGACACGTGCCACCCCAGAAACCGTGTAAGGAAAACAACGTACATTTGTTCTAGTGTGAGAGGCCATTCAGCCTCACAACATCAGCGGGTGACACGTGCCACCTCCGAAACCGTGTGAGAAAACACAATTGTACATTCAATATTCTGGGAGCCAACATGAGGCCATTCAGCCTCACAAAAGCAACGGGTGACGCGTGACACACACGAAACCGTGTGGGAAAAAAACAAAAACCAAATGTAAATCTAGGCTTCTGGGAGCCAACATAAGGCTTTTCAACTTCGCAAGAAACAACGGGTGACACGTGTCTCCCCCTAAACCGCACGGGAAAACAACAATTGCAGATGTGGGTTTGGGAGACAATGTGAAGCCTTTTCCAACCTCACCACAGCAACCGGTGACGCGTGTCACCCCCGAAACCTCGCGAGCGAAAATAACGTGTTTTGAATTATTGGTTCTGGAAACCAGCATACAGCCAATCAACCACACAAAAATAACGGCGGATACGTGTCACCCTTGAAACCGCGTGAACAAAAAAACACAAGTCCATTCAGGAGTTCGGAAGCCCACGAAACGCCAGACTAGCAAAAACAACGGGTGAGACGTGTCACCCCCAAGGTCATTCAGCCTCACCAAAAAACGGGTGGCACGTGCCACCCCCGAAACCATGTGAGAAAAACACAATTGAACATTAGAGGTCCTGGGAGCCAGCAAAACACCGTTCAGCATCACAAAAACAACGGGCGACACGCGCCACTCCCGAAACCGTATGAGAAATACCAATGGTAAAATTGAGATCCGGAGTACCAAAATAAGACCTTTCAGCCTCACAAAAACAACCGGTGATACGTGTAACCCCCGAAACCGTGTGAACCAAAACCAATTGCAAATTCTGGGGCTGTACAAACCAATATAAGGCAATCCAGCCTCACAAAAAGCAGCGGGTGCCACGTGTCACCTCTGAAACCGTGTAAAAAACAAATTTAAATTTAGGATTCTGGGGGCCAACAGGAGGCCGTTCTGCTTTACAAAAACAGCGGGTGATGCGTATCACCCTAAACGCCGCGTGAAAAACACGATTTGCAAATATAAGGTTCAAGCATCCAGCGTAAGGCCATTTAACCTCATGAAAAACGGCGGGTGGCACGTGTCTCCCCCGAAACCGTGTGGGGGATACAATGCACATGCGGGATTCCACGAGCCAACATCAAGCCATTCAGCCGCGCAAAAACAGCGAACGCCACGCGCCACCACCGAAACCGCGCGAGAAAAACACAAATGTAAACGTTGGATTCTGGAAACCCACATAAAACCATTCAACGTCGCAACAACAACGGGTAACACGTGCCATTTCTGAAACCGCGAGGGAAATAAGAACCATTTGAAAATTTGGGATTCTGGGAATCGAAATAAGGCCATTCAACCTCACCAAAACAACGGGCGACACGAGCCACCCCCGACATGAGGAAAACATGTAAAATTGGGGCTGTGCGAACGGCCATTCAGCTTCACAACAAAAAACAAGTGACACGCGTCAGCCCCGAAACCGCATGATACAAACGAAATGTAAATTCGGGACCCTGGGAGCCAACATGAGGCCAGTCAGCCGCGCAACCCGCGCGAGAACTGGACGCCACCGCACGCGCGCGCAGCCGCGTGCGCACGTACTTTCTGTCGCAACCGCAGGCGAGGGCGCCAGCGGCGAGTCTGATCCGAGCGGGCCGCGCAAGAGCCGAATTACCTAACGCCGACGGGCCGGCGACCTCAGCAGCGCCTCGGCGGGCGGGCCGGCGCGAGGGAGGTGCAAGCTGCCGCTGCCAGGGACCAGGTCCAGGGGCGCGCACGTGCAGAATTAGCCAACCAGTGTTGGGGCGCAGCCAAAATGGCGCGAGGGTCGAACCAGGATGTGACCAGAGAGGCAGCCAGCCAGTACGCTGCGACGACTGCCAAGGGTACCCAAGCTGGCCCAAAACTGGTGCATCGGGTGGCGCCACCAAAGTCGCACACCAAGTCCCCTGAGGGGAGTACTGATCCTGTAAACGACCGTCCACGGAAAGGCCCCAGGGACGGGCGAAGTGGCCAGGGGAACGATGGATGTAATCAACACCGTAAGCGCCTGAGCGACCGGATCAGGTAAAGCCACGCGCACTCTCGAGCAAGAACCGATGGCAGAGAGCTGACCGAACCAGGGAGATCCGCGTCTCAACACCGGGGCGAGGGAGCAAGATGATGCCGTGAGGATCGCCGCCAGGGACGGCGCACGTACGCACAGTGTCCCAATAAGAAGAAAATGACCGACTCGTCTACGGAAGCGGCCTGCACATTTGCACGCATGCAGTTCATGCGCATATGCCAATGCATGCGCGCGCGTGCGCGCGTATACGCGTAAATGCATGCAAACATACATGTGCGCATGTATCTCTCGCATCGTTCCGCCCGTGGAATATTTTCCAGGGGGGACAGTTAAAACAATAATTTTTCGGCGGCGATTTCATGGCAGCCGGGATCGGGGGGGAGGGGGGTCATCAATTTTTCAAACAGGCTGTGGACATTGCCGTGCAGGGAGCGGCTCTCGCAGAAGACCAGAGCGGCGGCATCTGGCACTGCACAAGCGGCGTTCGTGGGAGCGGGTCGTTTGCTACAGCGCAGAGCGCAGAGGTCCGCCCGTGAGAGACAGCAAGCAGTGAGTGGCAGCCAGCGCGGTCGGCGCAGAGACAAGCTTATGCGAAAAGCGTTTACGGTCAAGCAAAGCCTGGCCTGACAACCCCAGCCCCCGCTGGGACAAGGGTTGACGAGAACACAGGCGGTCGCAGTTGAGGTGGTCAAGAACATTTCTGCTGGAGGCGACTGCCACACTAATCTCCCGCGGGGATTGCGAGGGCAAGCGGAAAAGGGCGGGCACACGAGGCTCTACTTGAAGGCGAGAAGTAAAGGAAAAAGACTACCTCATACTGGCAACGCACTCAAAATCCAAGACCACAAAACCTGGATCCGAGAACTGGCCGAGGATCATGTTCAGGAAGCCGTCCCATACAGAGGGACCCGCAATGCCATGCCAACGGCCTCGTTCGACATCGTGCCGTCGGACATGCACTGCAGCAGCTCCTCCACCCGTGCCGCATCCCTCCCGAAGATCATCTCTGAGCCGTTCCGAGACGAAGATGAGCCAGCGGCACGATCAGCACCAGGAACATCCGCAGCACCGCAATCGTCAGCCGAAAGACTGGCGCCTTCAGGGCCACCAGCATCACCAGCACCAATAGACCACACATCACCTCCTAGTAGTCCTCCCAAATAAGCCTGCTGCAGGCTGTACAAGACCGTCGGCTTCACGGGCAACACCTCCCTCGTCGCCTGTTGCTCAGAAGACTGCTCAAACTCATCGTCCATCTTGAAATACTCGCAACGGCTGCCCTTGGCCAACTGACGCTGGCGCCATCATCCGCTGCTCCAAGAGAATCCGCTCGTCCTCCTTATATGTTTTCTCCTTAGTCCGCTCCTTATTCCTGATCCTCTTCGGCCTCCTCCTCTCTATCAGCTCCGCCTCCGTGAATTCCCGTTTGCCCGCCTTCACGGCGCCGTGGTGGTCCGACGTGTTCGCACCTTAGTGAAGTTTGCACACAAAGACTTGGAGGAGGTGAAAAGTCAGCACGCTCCTCGGACTCGTCGTGACGGCTGGACCGATCATGGCCATTTTCCTCACTCAGGGGTCCGTGCTCTCGACGACGCCTGGCGAAGGCGCTGTCTGAACCGTCGCCATCGCTACCTGCGGCACCTCCTGAGTCGCATGAGCGTGAAGGTAGCGCTTCTTGGAGTTGAAATACGTCATGTCATGATTATGCTTCTTTTAGAAGGGGATGGGTTTCATCCTACGCTGGTTCTTCCGCAGCACAAGACGGGACCAAGCCGTAGTCGCAGGCGGGGGCGTAGGAGGTGAAGGCACCCCCTCCACCTCCTTGAAAGACGGGCCAACCGCTCCACCAGCGTGGAGCCAATCCGGTGGCGAAGGCGGTCGCAGCACCTTGCGGATGCCCTGCTGGGCCCTCACAGGGAACAAATACCGAACGCCCGAGCACACAGTCGGTCGACCTGCCAGTCGCTGACCACGATGACGTCGCCATCGAAGAACCTGAGCCGCTCAACGACATCTTCGGATACCAGCCCAAGAGGCAAGAAGAAGCGCATGAACTTCAGCAGGAAGCCGAGGGACATGAAACAGTCTAAGCAGCATCCCTGGCGTTCGCAAGACCCGACGCGGGCTCCACGCTCAAGCAACAGGCAAAGGCCCGACAACCCCAGGGAACCCGAGCGGCTCGAGGCCGTGGTCAAGAGCACGCGGGCCGAGCGGTTGAGAGAAGTGGCTGGGAGGGGGCGGGCGGTGAAGAACCGCTTAGCCCGACGACCCCAGCCCCTGCTGGGATCGAGCTGGGCGAGAAGGCGGGCAGTGGCGGCTTTGATGCACCAGAGAGCATGTGGTCCGACAGGGTTCGACGAAGCAGAGCGCAGAGTCAACGCTTCCTCAATTCCAATGCTGGAATGAGCTCGTGCGCGGCATGGCAGATGCTGCGGGGGGCCTGGACGGCAGGCCGAGGGGGGGTGGGCCAAATGCCGTCAACTATCATGCGAAAAGGGCTCAGGTTGGCACCCACCTCAGGAAACGCTCTTCAAGCTGAGCCGTGTCGCCCAGGGACGGCCTGGGGTAGGGGTAGGTTCGATCGACGCGGTGCTTCGATGTGTTCAAATTTCTCGTCGGTTAGGCAGCAGAGATCCAAAATAATGGTTCTCTTTCTATACATGTTCTCTCCTCCTCCTCCTCGTCCTCCTTCTCCTCCTCCTCCTTCTCCTCCTCCTGCTCATCCGCATCGGCATCATCCTCCTCACCTCATCCTCATCCTCATCCTCATCCTCATCCTCATCCTTATCCTTATCATCATCATCATCATCATCATCATCATCATCATCATCATCATCATCATCATCATCATCATCGTCATCAGCATCATCATCACCATCAGCATCAGCATCAGCATCACCATCAGCATCATCATCAGCATCAGCATCAGCATCATCATCATCATCAGCATCATCATCATCATCAGCATCATCATCAGCATCATCACCACCAGCATCATCAGCAGCATCAGCATCAGCATCAGCATCATCCTCATCCTCATCGTCATCATCATCAGCACCATCATGATCAGCATCATCATAATCAGTAGCATCATGATCATCATGAGCATCATCATCAACATCAGTATCATCATCATCACTATCAACATCAACATCATCATCGTCATCATCATCATCATCATCATCATCATCATCATCATCATCATCATCATCATCATCCGCGTGATCATTCGCATCCTCATCCGTATCCGCATCCGTATCATCGTCCTCATCATCATCCTCATCAGCATCGGCATCAGCACCAGCATCATCATCATCATCATCATCAGCATCAGCATCATCAGCAGCATCATCACCCCTCTCCACCACCTCCACCTCCCTCCCTCCTCCCTAATTCCTCCTCCCTCTAATTCTCCTCCTCCCCGTCCCCTCCTCGTCCTCCTTCTCCTCATCCTCCTCGTCCATCGTCGTCCCTCGTTATCATCCTCCTGTACCTTCTCCCTCCCTCTCCTCCTCGAAAGGCCCGCCAAAACGCACTCAACTATAAGCAGATCTCGGGCGCCGAGCTTCAAGCGGACAATCCGATCAAATGTCTCTTGGGACCCCCCGCCCAAATCGTAGCTCATACATCGGACGCTTCAAGGGCAACGAAATTTCAGTGACAGTGCTGATTTCGCCTCGGATGGTCATGTGCGCGCTGACCTCGCACCACCTACCCACCACCACCTCCAGTGCATTGGTCCACCAACTCTCTGACTGTCAGGGCGTCGGAATGGACACAGATGCTCTGTGAGAGATTCGCTTCATCCTTCCACTATGTGAGGACCATCCCCCTCCGTCGAGAACACGGTCGCCGTCGTGTTGCGCTCACCCTCTGCACGCGCCTGGCACAGTCCGCGTCGCTGCGCTCTAGGTAATAACGAGGTGCCCAACATGGTCGCAGTCTGTTTGCCTTTAGGACGCAGGTCCCCCTTGCGGTCGACGATTGGCTACGCTACGCCGTCGCTGCCGCAACCGCCGTCGCAGCCGAAGTCGCAGCTGCCGCGCGACCACTGCGGACGCCGCCGCCGCAGCCACCGCCGCTGACCAGGCACCCTGGAACCCACAGCGGCTCGCCTCCGCGAGCGGCGGCGCCGGCGGTTCCCAGCTCGTCTCACCTGGGGCTGGGGGCGGGGGGGGCATATCAACACCAGGCAGCAGCATGTTGTCTATTGGATGACGAGCACCACCTCTTTTTGTTTTACGACGCAAGGCAGCAACATCAAAGAATAAGAAGAAGAAGAAGAAGAAAAGAAAATCGTCATAAGCATTGACGTTCCGAGGTCCGCGTGGATCTTTTGGATCGGCGCTAGACTCACCTGGCGGCCTCCTGCGTCACCCCTGGCGCGCTCCGCGCGCCAGGGAGTGTCCAGGGCCGATCCAAGAAGTTTGAGCGGACCTCCGAATGTATTCGTCATGTCGTCAGTGTCGCAGGAGGCGTCAATATCGTCAGCGAACGTCTCCTCGCAGAAGGCGTCCCCAATACGCGAGTTATCCGCCCCATCTCTTGCACCAGCTGGAAAGAAGGGGGGGTAGGAATGGAGGGGGGCGGGTAGGGAGAGTGGAAGGCTGGCCGAGGAAAGGGAATGACGATAGGGGAGAGCCGGGAAGGGGAGGCGAGAAGGAACGGAGGGGTGATCGGAGCTGGGGGAGACCAGCACATCCACCGGTGTGCCTCCTCAAAACCTCCAGCCCTCATCCCTGTAATCCCCCAGTTCTTCGCGAAGCGCTGGGACACCAAATTCTGATGTCTGGCCCACGCAGCGACCCTGCCTCCCCTTACCCACGGAGGGCCCAATGGGCTTTGCCGGCCGCCCCTGGCACGCGGACTTGCGCAACCCGCTGAAGGGCATTCGCGACATGCGCCACGGAACACGCCTCTCATCCTCCTCTGGTCCTCCTCCTCCTCCTCCTCCTCCTCCTCCTCCTCCTCCCCCTCTTCCTCCTCCTCCTCCTCCTCCTCCCTCATCCTCCTCCTCTTCCTCATCCTCCTCCTCGTGTTCTTCCTCCTCCTCCTCCTCCTCGTCCTCCCCGTCCTCCTCCTCCTCCTCCTCCTCCTCCTCATCATCATCGTCATCCTCTTCCGGCACCAGGCACGATGCAGACCTGGGCGGTTTGAGCATGTTGTTTTCGAAGGAAGAAACGACAGATATTTGTGTGTGATCCTCCACACAAGAGATCTCTGTGGACTCCATTAAAAGCGACACCTTCTTATATTCAACCCACCCGAATGCATCTTGAAATATCCCACAGCAAACGAACTGCTCCTGTAATACGTAACTTCTTTCTGCGGCGGAATACAACATGATTCCTTACGCGGCTGAATGCAAAAGGATCCCCTTTGTGTCGGACTTCCCAAAAAAAAAATCCCTGTTGCGGCGGAATACAAAGGGATCCACTTTTGGTGGCCGAATACACAAGAATTCCTTTTCTAACAAGATCCAAAAAAATGTGGCGGATAAAGAAAAATCCTTGTCGGGCGGTTTCCCAAAGGACTCCTTCAGGCGAATGTGGAAGAGGACGATCATGGGGACACCCGCAATAGGGCGGAACCCAAAGAAACCGCCATAACTTGTGGGGAACCTTCGGAAAACAAAGAAACAATAAAAACTGACAACTACAACAACAACAACAACAACAACAACAACAACAACAATCATTTTACCCGAACGCGTGGTGTTCTCCCCAGTGCCAGGGTTTTCATACGACACCAGGCAATACCCCCACTTCGTGGGGGGGCATTACAAGCTCTACCAAATATCCAAACGACTCTTCGCGACCACCCAAACCCAGCTTCCCGCCCTATGACGTTGGGACACTTCACTTCGTGGCGTGCGGACGACCGTGGCTACTACACTGGCGTGGGGTACACACCCACAGAACTTGGTCACTTATTCGGGGCGCGCATGTGCCCAGCATGGTGCAATTGTGCCATGCTGGGCACATGCGCGGATGGTATTATTTGACAGGGATGATGGCCCTGGCAGGTGCGCAACCGTTGTCGCAGAAGTTCGAAAAAGTTGCTCGCAAAAGCCCGTTTGACAGAAATGTTTAAAAAGTGTTGGTTTTCCTACGAATCCGCAAGAGCGCGCGGGATGAGATTTTGACATTTTTTTGTTGAAAAACCATTGGTTTTTTGATGTTTTTATGTTAAAATCGCTCCGAACACTAAGCTTTTGGAAGGATTTCGTCTTGCGCGCGCGAATGTCCACTTTACCTTATTTTTTGCAAGGGATTCTTGAAATTTGATTATATTAGAACAAGAAATGTCATTTTATAGTGTTTTTTGCAAGGGAAAGCGGGGGGGAACAAAACAACCGGATCCGGTACTAATCCACTTTTCTGAAGCTTTCGCGAAAAAATAATGAAAATGTAGCTGCGGCCTAGGTTTTGGAGGGGGGTCGTGTACCAGGGGTCCCAACAATAATTATTCTTTAGAAGTAATAATGTTCAACAATAACAACAACAACAACAACAACAACAACAACAACAATCATTTTACCCGAACGCGTGGTGTTCTCCCCAGTGCCAGGGTTTTCATACGACACCAGGCAATACCCCCACTTCGTGGGGGGGCATTACAAGCTCTACCAAATATCCAAACGACTCTTCGCGACCACCCAAACCCAGCTTCCCGCCCTATGACGTTGGGACACTTCACTTCGTGGCGTGCGGACGACCGTGGCTACTACACTGGCGTGGGGTACACACCCACAGAACTTGGTTTTTGGGCGGCGTGCCCGCGAAAAAAAACGAATGTGTCCCGCAATTTGGTTGATGGCCCTGGCAGGTGCGCAACCGTTGTTTGACAAAAGCCCGTTTGACAGAAATGAAAAAGTGTTGGGTTTCCTACGAATCCGCAAGAGCGCGCGGGATGAGATTTTGACATTTTTTTGTTGAAAAACCATTGGTTTTTTGATGTTTTTATGTTAAAATCGCTCCGAACACTAAGCTTTTGGAAGGATTTCGTCTTGCGCGCGCGAATGTCCACTTTACCTTATTTTTTGCAAGGGATTCTTGAAATTTGATTATATTAGAACAAGAAATGTCATTTTATAGTGTTTTTTGCCGGATCTTGATCACCTCGAATTACCTGAGGCTTCCTCACGAAAATGATGAAAACGTGGCTGCGGCCTAGGCGCGGCGGGGGGGGCGCGCACCAGGGGGCCCAACAATAATTATTCTTTAGAATTAATAATGTTCAACGAAACCATGGTGTCGGCAGAGCTGTGGCGACGTCCCAAAGAAATCTGCCCGAAATCCGGGTTTCTTGCATTCCGCCACAAATGGAACTATTCTGCATGCGGCACAAGAAAAATATTTTGTAATCCACCACATCAGGAATCCTTTGTGGGTATCAACCACAGATGGCCTCCTGTTGTATTCTGCGACGCATGGAATCCCTCATTAATCCACCAGGTAAGGAACCCCTTAGTATTCCGCAACAAAACAATCCTCGTAGTATTATGCGTCGCAGGAAATCCGTTCGTATCCATCTACGAAGGGAAGCCTTCTGCAGTCGGTCACAAGAAAACTCCTTCTGTACTTCACCACAAAAAAAAAACTCGTTGGAATCCACCACAGAAGCTTATGCATCCTGCCCCAAAATGAATCCTTTTGTAACCCACCACAACAAATATCTTAGCATTCCGCCCCAAGAGGAATCCTTAAGTATTCTGGCACAAAAGGTACCCTTATGTCTTTCCGCCACAAGGGGGACCCTCTTGTTTCCGGCAACAAAAAAAACTCATGTTGCACTCCGCCCCAAAGGAATCTCTGTGTGGTCCACCACAGAAGAATTATCTGTATTTCGCCACAGGGGGAATGCTCTGGAATTCTGCAACCAAAGAGAATCCTCTTTTATTCCGCAACAACGAGAATCAGTTTGCATTCCGCCGTCAAGGAATCGAATCCTTTTGTAATTAGAATCCCAAATTCCAGCGTCAAAGGAACTGGCGCCTTTCAAGTGGAACACAAAGGGATTCATTTGAGTGGAATGGAACAAATCTGTTTGAGTCGAATACGCATCGATTCCCTGCGTGACGGGTTACACAAAAATATCTTGCGTCGCTTCGTTGGAACAAGACGCTCAAACCGCCCAGGCCTGGATCGCGCCTGGCGCCGTTCCTCCTCTTCCTCCTCCTCCCGCTCGTTCTCCCTCCGACGAACTCCCTATTCCGCCCTTCCTCCCGCTAGTCCCTCCGATACTCTTCCCGATCCCCCCTTTCGCCAGATTGCCTGAATGTCCTAAAGCTTGCCATGTGCGCAGACGCGCAAACTTGCATGCACACATATGTGAGGATATGGCTGTGCATATTCCGCAAAGAGTAATTCCCCTTAGGGGTCATTACTTCGTTTGTCACCAAAGATTTTGATGGTTTTGGCGAGGGCGCGGTTTCGCCACATTGCCGCTCATGGCCACCTCGTGCGCCGGCTGGGTACAGCGAGGTTTCACCCCGCTGTCGCACGTGGCAGACTCGTGGCACTCTCGTGCGCTGGGCTGGTCCGTCGAGGTGTCGCCACATCGCCGCCCGTGGCCGCCTCGTGCGCTAGGTACGTATGTCAGACGGGGTCTCGCCACGGTGCCGCCTGTTGTCTCCTCGCTGTATGTATGTGCACATGCACATGCACACATATTCACCGGATTAAAATGCACTCAGGGGTTCTTATCTGGCGTGCGAAGTGATCTCAAGGAGAAAGAAACGCAAATAAAGCAAAAACGAATACACACCAAACACAAACAGAAGATCTGAAGACACCGACGGCGCAAACAACACGGAAACCGAAACGAGACGCGCAGTGATTGGGGCATACAAAACAACGACTGAAACAAAACTTTGGAGATGCAGCAGAACAAAAACGAACATCGGAACGCGAGCAAGATAACGTTCAAACTCAGACACATCGAACTGAAACAAAACACCACAGCCAAACGAAACAGACACGAAAGAACAAATGCCCGAGCCAAGCTAAACAACGTTTTGGTCGGTCCTTGAATTGGTCCGCTGGGCTTTCGCCTGGTGCCCGGTCGGTGGCCTGTCTTTGGCGCCTCGTGGGCACCGCGTTCGCTGGGTGGGTCCGCCGGTGCTTCGCCTGGTGCCCGTTGCTGGCTGGTCGT